AAGAGTAGCAGACTTAGGAGGTCTTTAGAAAGCTAGAGCTTTGAATCTCAGGATACTACGGACTTAGCTTTGTGCTCCAAAAAGTAGGAGGTGAACATTTTCAAAGAACTAGAAGGGAAGAACTACAGACCTGACCGTATTCAAATTGTTAGGTTTTATTTTGAGCTCTGTCATTTCATTCTTTGCTGCTGGCCATGTTACTTTGCTGCTAATCTTCTGTGCCGCTTTGTGGAAAGCGAACATAATGACTTCCAGAAAGCACTTTGCTAACTGGCATGAACACCACCTGCAAAGCTCCTTTTAATGTAGTGCAAAGGATAACCATATTCTGCTGACCAGTCAAAAAAGGGCAAATATTCTTTTGCTAGTTCTCTGCAGCATTAGTTACCTGGCATTATTAGCACAGCAATCCTGGCATATCAATGTTGACAAACAAATAAGAGAAATAAACAGGAATAGCTGCATTACTTACAATATTTCACCAAAACTAAGATGAAAACCTTTTCATCCTCAACATTACATACCAAAAACCTTCCTGTGGCCAGAAATAAGATACAAGTACACAGATTAAAAAAACTCCAAGGGCTGTGCTAAACTATGTGATGATGTTGACCTCAGTGCCTGCTCATTCCTTGCTGCTTCTTTCTGTGGCTCAGCATTTACAATAGTCAGCAACCTCCATGTTGGGAGGAGTCTATAAATGACTACATAGCACACACTCAGCGGAGCACCAACATGCAGCTGAAGAGGCAAAGGGTGGCAGTATCATCAGATGAAGAGAAGAAAAAGAAGCCAGAGATTATTCTGTCAGTATGATTAATTCCTTATACGGTATAAAGTCTGAGTCTCTTGAATCAAATGCAATACAAAGAAGAAATATCTGCTCACAAAACAGAGCAAAATTGCTTTCCTGGTGTTTCTGTGACCTACTGGGTTATCTTCGTTCTCTTGCACAGTTATATGACTAATTTATGAGTTGGTAACTCCAGATGGTCATGCACATCCAATTGAAGGATCCACTGTAACACCCACCTACCAGAGTTAAGGTGACTGCCAACTGAATTGAGATTCAGCAGAAGAACTTCAGGGCGTCTAAAAATAAATCATAGGCTCATCAAAATCACAGATGTGCAATTTATTGTGTAATGATCTGTACACACTCATTTTCTAGTAACATCCACAAAGCAATGAAAATAAGCAGGTCACAGAATCCGAGTTAAATTAAAATCTGCCCCAAATTAACATGATACCTAAAACTTACAAGACACTTGCTATACTATTAATGCATTAGCATTAGATTTAACAAGGCTAAGTGAAAGAAAATGAGAGGAAAAATTGAAGAAAAATGGAGGAACCACCTTTTTGGTTAAATGAAGGAACACAGACAATTGCTTTGGAGGGTGCTTCTTCACTGGGAAAATCTCAAGGAACAGACATCTCCTGAAATCTTCAAATAATCCACTCAAGTTCAGCCTCTGTACTAAGTGAAGTTATCTTCCCAAAGCAATCAAAGTCTTGTGTGCTTTTATTACGCCATCCAAAATTTGGAGAATTATTCTGAGAAGTTTTTTCTGGTACCTATTAGTCGAGTTCACAAACTAAGCTTCAACGATTTAGATTAAAAAGGATTTTTCAAATCCTTATGTAAATATCATCGGGCAAGTTCTCAGACTTGCACTGAGGCGCCCATTTGACTTACATTCTCAACAGCAAAATAACCCTGAGACATTCTTAGAAGATTCAGTATAAAGTACTGTCCTCATGCATACAGTTATTTGCCTAAAAACAGGAGGGCATCTCAAAACAAGGCATTTTGTGATTTTTCCACTATTACTCTAGTTGTGGAAAACTTGATTTTAAATATAAGGCAACCCCACTCTTTCTCATTCTCCCATCTTGTTCTCTAACTCCCAAACTGACTCTTCCTTAAGCCTTGTTCCTGCATCCTCACATGGATGCTGCAGGTCTCAGCTACCAGCTCGTTCTTGAAGACAAGATGACATGTATGAGAATCATTGCCTATTATTAAACTTAAGCAGTACTAATCAGTAGATCAACATGGCTGATGCTCCCATGATTGCTCTACAGTACTTGTAGGTGTTTAGTAAGTGAGAAGCACGTCTGCAATAATCTTGCTCCAGTTCTAGCAAGCAAAAGCTGTTGCTTCTCCAGAGAAACATCACTGTGCATCGGCTGGTGGGTGCTAACTTACGCAAAGAACATGCTACAAGCTTGTAATTCTATAGCCACAAATAAGCTAATACTAGCCAGTTCTCAACTATCCAAAGTAATGGAGAAACGCAAGTACCTCAATGAACCCCACAGAAAACACAAGCCACGTATAAATCAGGATGCAATAACATACTTAGTCCACTCACTTTTGCAGAACTTGCAAAAAGCACTTCACAAAAAACAGGGCAGAGAAACATCCAAGACATGTTAGATACATTAAGAGAGAGACATGAGCACCACAAGGTATCCAGGAAAGATGTGACCTGGGCAGCCCAATGGTGTTATTCTACAGATAACCAAGAGTTAAGTCTACCTACATACATAGGCAATATATACTTTTCGGGCAATTTCCCCTCCTCCCACCTCCCCCCAAAAGCCCCACCTTTGTCATAATCTGATAGTTATGATACTCATTTTATAAATACATCCCTAAGAGAACATTTTCAAACTTTTAAAATAACATTTTTCAGAAATTTCTCATTCACCATATAACATAGAATGAAGAATTGTATGTTAACAAACTAAAGAAGGAACAGCAGCTGTAATATGTCCAGTCCACACCTGAGGCTATCAATTTATCTTATTTCAAAGCAGACTTCAGATCATTATAAGTAAAATTTAAGACCTTCTCTCCAATATTAGCCCCTACGTTTATTTCATTTCCCAACTGTGCTACTTACTGCTTTCCACAGACTTTGCTGGGCTGGAAGAAAAGCTTCCTATATACGATATTTCTGTACCAAGATACATGAGGTATCTTTGGTCCAGACCACCAAATAAATCTGTCTCTCCACTCTAAACATAGCACATCTTAGCATTCTTCTTCCTTAACCTTTCACAGGCGTTCCCACTCAGTCTTCCTCTTCCTTTCTTGCTGCTTCCTTCCAAACGAAGGATATTCTAGCAATATATTTAGTAAAACCCTTAGCTTCTCACTGACAATTTACAGTGCAGCACAGGTTATGTACCACTGATTTATGGTGACAAGAGACATTTACTCTTGCTGGTAACAGTACAGATGTTTTCTAGCATCCATAACGGGGTTTGGTCAGTGACATTTTGCATCGGTCTCCCTCTAGGTTGGCTCAAACTCTAGTTGACATGTTTCCATTTTTACAACTAGTAGCCTTAGTAGCCTCTAGCCTCTGAATAAAACAAAAAGTGAAATACCAGGAGTTAATCTATTTTTGTTTTAGAAATAGCTTACATTCTAAACCTCAGAAATGTTCAGACAGCATTAAGGAATAGAGTCATAACAGCCTGTTTACAAAATCAGCAAGTAAATGCTGAAAAGGGGAAAATGCCCAATACGTAAGTGATTTATTTTTTATTCACAAATGAAGTTATCCATTAATCAATTCACTTTTTACCATTTATCAATATGCCCATAAATATATTGCCATCTGTAAGGGAAGGGGAAAGTTTAGGTATTAGGAAACTTTTAAAGTCATTTCCTTTTTTAAAAAAACAAAAAAGGAAACCTGAATAGCATAAGAACAGTAGTACAGAAACTACATTGAAAACTCCCATAATTTCTATCTTCAAACTCGCTAACAAGAGTTCATAATACATTTCTTTTCCCTCTACAGCAGAATTAAAATGCAAATTCACTGCCACAAGATTTGAGCCAAAAAGATGTAGCAGGGAAGTTCTACAATGATTGAAAATACATAGAAGTATCAAGCCTTTTAACAGTTAATTCTGGCTCTAAAGGATCTATTTAGGGTATAACAACTCCCACCTATCTGCAAGATCTCAGATATTACCTGCCCTCAAAGCAGAAGAACACGTGTCTGCGTTTCAGCCACCCAATTCACAGCACTTCTTATCAATTCAAACTGTAGATGAAAGCAAGCTTGTACAAACACACTAACAAAACCACTGCAGCTAACATACAAGTACATGTTTGCTCCTGCCATCTGGGCAGAAACAAGCAGAGAGAAAGGCCAAACAGCTGCATGCACATATCAGGAAGAAAGATGATGATCTTAAAACCACTGCAGCAATTTGCTCCCATACCCATAAATGTTCTAAGCATGCCTTTGAATTCAGCTTTGTGAAAATACATATACCACAAAAAACACTCAAATTGCAGAGGACATTGTTATTAGTATTGCAGAAATATTCAGCACTATTTCCAGAATCATAAGTACCAAAGCTTTAGTTCCCATGCTCTAGCGGGCTGGCTGGATCCCACGTAAAGTACCACAAATACCAGCTCAAGACCTGGGTGTACAAGGAAACCCGCTGGGACAACGTTTCATTGGCATCCGAGTTGATGTTTTTGTCAATATCAGCTCTACAAGGGCTAGGAAAAAGATCCAGTTTGGCAGAGATAGGGTAACTTTCCCCCCAAGGAAAACGGTCCCACATTTCAACAGCAAAATCTAGCAAGTAACATTTAAACTAAGGAGCGCTTCTCCTTCCAAGTAGGGGAAGGACTATTTGCATTTTAAATTCAACAGGGCTTTCCAACATAAAGGAGTCTGCTGAGATGCCAGTAAAACTGAGATACTGTGCATATATTAACCACCACAGAAGCATGCTCCAATTATAGCTGCTTTGGCATCCAGTCATTTTAGTTACCTCTATTTCCTGTGGTCTTCAGCACCATACGGTAGACGGCTAAACCCCTATGGAGTTAGATTAGAGGATACAGTGGTTCACAAAAGTGGATCTCTAACATACATTACTCCCCTCTTCTCTTTGTACTCTTTCTTTCTAAAATCCTATCCCAGTACCCTGGCTGTTCACTGTATAACACTTACTGTTGCTGGACTTGAGGTCACGGTGAATTATGGGAACAATTGCTTCCTCGTGCAGGTAGTTCATTCCCCTTGCAATCTGTACTGCCCAGTTCACTAGTATGTCAGGAGGTATCCTTTTACCAGACAACACTCTATTTAGTGATCCTCCACGGGCAAACTCCATGATCAAGCAGAGATTAGGTTCCTTCAAACACACACCCCTGAGGGCGATGATGTTGGGATGCTTTAACATCGCAAAGAGCTTAGCCTCTTGGCGGACATTCTCAATGGTCTGGCTGATGTCCTCATCAGGGTCATAGCGAGCTGCCTTGACAGCAACCTCATCTCCTATCCATATAGCTCGATACACTTTTCCGAAGCCCCCTATGCCAATGATTTCCTCCAGAACAAGCTCTGAGAAGTCGATCTCCAGGACTAGGGAAAG